CTTTTGTTTTAGATCTTTGCTAAACTTTTAGAAAATTCTTTATTTAATAGTGATGTTTTTCAGAATGTTTAGAAAAAAAATTTATTAGGCAACGTTTAATTTTGTCTGTCTAATTTTATGTGTTGTTTTTGTTGCTTATCCAAAAATAAAATTACAATTTCAATTGGCCCAGTAAAGATTTTCTCAGCAAACAAAGCGCACGAAACAATGCATGGTGTCTCTTATATGACCTGACCCAATCAAAATGTTTGTATGTTTAATGATTAAAAATGTTTTCAGGGACTCTGATTCAGATTTTTAACATTCAAAGTTTTTCTGAGCTGCAGACGTTATGCGTAAGTCCAAGGTCACATTTTTCCTATTCCATTTTAATATTTTCATTGCATAAATTGTTTGTTTGCCTGCATCATGCCACAAGATTTCAGCTGCTCCAATGATTGGTCTGCTTTAGAACTAGCTCATGCCTCACATCTAGTCTCATTACACTTTTCATCTGCTATATTTAGATCCTTTGGAAACCATCTGGACATCTTCTAATTGTGTGCATAAAAACAATAACTTTGTTTAGTTATGTTTTCCTTCATTTTGTTTTTAAAGTCTGGTCTCTTTTGTTATAGCGTTTGATGATTGTTGTTGTAAATATACTTGTTTTTTTTTTATATATTGTTTTCTATTTTTTCCCTTGTTTTTTGTTTTTTCAATTTACTGTGAATTATTTTATTTGGTACTTAAACAATTTCAACCAATCTGCATATCTGTGTTACATTTCTATATAGATAAATATTTGATTAAATATATGCTTATTCTGTTGACCCTTGAATGACAAAAAAACTTGCCCTCTTTAAAAAAGGAACCAATAACAGTTTTAGTATACATCCTCTAAGAGTCCCCACCTCACCTATCCTGACATTCCTTTACAATACTCTTCCTGTATTAAAGAAGTCACAAGGCCATTCATTCTGGAATTATATCATTTGTAAACAGCATTCATATTTTGTCATTTTATGTCTGCATTTTGTATTTTTATTTGCCGCATTGTCTACTTATATATTGATTATAGTTTTATATATAAATAATTTTGATACACAAAAGAAGTCTTGATTTATTGTTAGTCAAGAAGATAATGTTTAAAATGAAAAAAAAAATGTTAAGACATTAAATAATAATGCCAAAAGTTTATCTCATAGCCTGGATACCTTATTACATGAAAAATAAAGCTGCTCAGATTAGTTCAATGTTTGGTTTTATTATAATTAACATGTTGATTTAATAGTAAGTAGTAGGTAGTTACCTTTGAATAGTACATAGTAAGATTTAGTAATTTTTCTGTGGCATACTAGAAGCTTTTTTTAAAATTATTTAATAGCATATCATATTTCATATGCTTGCTCATTTTTCTCCATTCGTGCAAACTTGTTTAAAATCAAGCTCACGGCATGCTCTCTCTCAATTAATGAATGTCCTCTGTCTCAAATGTGCACTTGACGCAATGAGCTCTCCACATGTTTGTCTGTGCAGTTCTGTACAACTTTGCTTTGATATTGGTAACTTCTGATAAGGAGTTACACTGAATGTGATTTTGATTCATTTCATTCAATATAAATACTTCTATTAATACTTAACAAGCTGTGCTCCCTTTAAGAAAAGTTTAACATGATTTAACTAGCGAGACATGCCAAGTATCTTATGATATATAAATCATTTATCTATAGAAAATTTTACTCAACAATCATTACATTATCCAACCATTAAAGACATTGAAATGATTTTAACTCATTTTCAACTTCAATGCAGGCTGTTTGAAAATTTTTTAGCATAATTATGTTGATCTGAACTATAATGATTTTTTAGCCTAGCTATTGAGTTTCAGATACATGTGTACTATGAAGAAGGTTTTAATGCTTTCCCTATAAGAAAACTTCTTTTGAAATATTTCAACAAATGAAACTCAGACCAACAGTGTATTGGAACTCTTGTGCTAATTAAAAAAAAAAAAAAAAATTTCTTAAAGAAACTTAAACACTTTTAGTGAGATAAACTTAAACACTTTTAGGGAGACAAAGTCTTTACAATGTTGTCTACATCAAATGATACTTTGACCTTTTCATTTTGGCTAAGATTTTATTTGTCCTTCTATGGCATATATTTACATTCCAATTAGACCTTGCACGTTTGGTTGCAAATATATTTTTTATACTTCCTTATTTACCTTTTGAACATTTCTCAAATTGGTCTCGAATTTTTTATTTCAATTTTTTTCAAAATGTCAAAATAAATATATTGGCTTCAAATAAGTTTTAGAAAAAGAAAGAATTAGAAAAATTTGTTAATTTCATTCATTGACATTTACTGGAACAAATTATTTTTTAAAAATGTTTTATTTTTTTTTATTTTAGTGTTATTCGATTATTTTTTTGTTCACTTTAATGTGATATTGAAGAAAATCCAGAAATTATTTTCAATTAAAATGGTGATTCGGGTTCATTGTTTTGTTTGGGTTTCCCTAGCAATGTACATCAGCACTTGTGTTGGTCATTGAACTAAAATATGTCAATATGTGGAGATTGAATCAAAGTTAATGATCAATTTACTTTTAGAAAGAGATCTGTCCAAATAAACATCAATATTTGTCAATTCATTATTTTTGCTGTTCTTATTTTGAGCCTAGTCATATCTTCTTATCATGGTGTCCTTTATACACAACTATGTTATTGTTTCTATTCTTTGACTTTCCCACCACAACAAGCACCGCCAGTGACATCTACTTAACATTTTTTTGTTTAGAACAACTTTTGTTATACAAGACTCCTGGTATATCTACATTATTTAATATTATCAGACAAACTATATCTGTTCTTTCATGGTTTCAGATTTAAAACAATGTTTTGTAAATATTTTGAAGATTGTTTCCTCTAATTTAATTGGCTTGTCAGAGCTGGTCAGTATTGAAATACTTAGGTCTATAAAATTGATATATTTAACATCTCAAAGAACTTTGTAAATATAATATTGTACATAGACTGTTCTGTAAGTCTTTCTTTCTAGTCTCTTCTGGACTCTATGGGTTTATGTTGCACAAGGAACATCTCTATGAACTGAACTGTTGAAGGGAAATGTGGTCAGAAGCTAATCAAGTAGCACTGCTGCAATTGACTAGTAGAACAAAACAAAAAAAGGTGAAATAGCGCCTCCTAAATAAAAGGTGGTGAATACGTTATAGTTTGAACTTGTCACTAGTTTCAAATTTATTAAAGGATTACATTTAGTGTTGTTTGTTATTATCAGTGCACAGACAATAACAAAACATGGTTTTGTATTTCCATGTTGGATTGAAACATTTGTATAGAGAAGCAGCAGACACATGCCAGTAGTTTTCAAAATATGATATAGGGTCACATATTTTTGGAATTGTTTTTCAGTTATTCATTTAGAAACAAAAAATAAATAAATTTTGAGACCTTTTCATCACGTATCTGTAATTTCAGTATTTTTTGTTTCAAACAGTAGTTGAGTTGTAGTACTTTTTTTTATTAAAGAATAATAAAAGGTTAAATGTAATTTAGTGAACTAATCTAATTTGATTAGATGTCATCAATAATTGAAATTAAAGTTTTTACTACTAGCAAAGTTAGTCCTCTGCAGCACCTTATTAACAGTTGAAACTTAAACAAATTTCTGGATGTCTCAAGCAGACATCTTAGTAAGATGTAGTGTGATGAAGATACCAATGAATGAACTTGTTCAAAGATCTAGGATCAGAATATTAGTGGACTTTTTGAAATGTCTATTTGTATATCAACTTAGTACATTTTCTGTCTTTTGTATTATTAGACATTTTAATGATCCTTGTGATTACACTACTGTATATTTGATGGTTTTTCTTGCTTCTTATTTAAGTGAAGAGGTATTTAACAAAATATTCATTTAATTGAAAGCTCATCAAATGTCTTGTGATATTGTCATTTCTTGTCACCTGTAATCACATTGTATAATTCATTAATCATTGAATTGAATGTCTCTGCTCTATATTGGGCCATCTGTGTTTCTTCCAACCCGTTTATATACATGGGACTTACATTTTGTAATTTGTAGTGTTGTTTTTTTCAATGACAATATTTGTGTTGTTTATACATGTATTTCAAGAACTATTTCTAATCATGGTACTAAAGGCTACATGTCTCCAGTTAACCCACCCTAAAAGGTCTAGATGCTTCCCCACAGTCAGAAGTATCACAAGATAATAGTCCACAGACTGGACACTGCAATGACAGATGTGGGCTGAATGTCAACAAACATACACTATGGAAACTATTTGATGTCTTTGTTTTTTTCTGTGCAAGTTGTTCTCCGAAAGTATTAATGTCTCTTTATTGTGTTGTCATGGTGATGTCAAGTAGTGCTAGTATTGTATTTGATTTTCATAATGTGTATACTATTGGCTGTGATTTTTTTTTAATGGTTTCAAATCATTTTTCACCTTAAGTAACCAGTACTTAGAAAAGTTTTTCCCCTTTGCAAATATGCTAACCACCCAATAGTTTTTTTTTTAAGGGGTGGTCTTTTCATTATACTTTGTCTAAGGTTAACAAGAAAGTATTACCATATGGAAATATACTTTAAGAAAACTTTAGCTTTTTGATGTTAAGCAAACCATAACTAAGTCAATAAATGAAGCTTAGTCTTAGTTAAGCAGCAAAACAACTCAATTTCATGGGAGTTCTATTTGATTTGGTTCAATGTTTACTACAAACTGTGTATTTAAAATGACTTTGTTCTTGATCAAAATATCTATTGTTGTATATTGTACAGTGAGATATCAATCTTCAGTACAGTGTCTTTGTGAACAAATAAATATTATTGTAAGGTAACAAGCTCTTGTGTTTTTGTCAAGATCTAAACAATTGATCATTTACTTCCTCAACTGCCCTAAAATGTACTATTTGACATCGAGTTCAACACTAAGAACACACACACACTAAAAAGAAGTTCAACCCAATACTATTCAGGATCATCAAAATATTTTTATTATTTTTAAATATGCAATCATGTAGGGGAGAAGTGGGAGCATGAGGATAACAAACAAAAAAAAAAAAGTGAAAACAAAAATATCTGAGGAAAACTAAATGCATAAATTACTTCAAGTGAGGTTAATAAGAAAACATTGCAGGCTCAACTGGTCACACTCCACATGGGATTGAATGCTGGCCATCAGTGTGAGAGAGAGAGAACTGTGTAGAAATAGGTGTGTCACTTAGCCCTGTAGTCACACAAAGTAAAAGAAAGAGGTGTTATTTACAATTGGTGCATATAGATAGGGACAAATTACAAGTTATCTGAAGATGTGCTCTACAGACACACAACATCCTGGCATGAGAGGTCTGATCCCATTTTCACTCATAACAAAAGTAATAGAGCAGTGGGGGGGAAAGTGACATTTAGTCATTTTGAGATTATAGCTTTTTATTTTTCACTTGCTCAATTCAACTAAACAAAATATTTCGTTTACACGATTCTGTATAAACAAAAAAACAGGATGTGGGTTAGAGAAGAACGAGATATTTGTTGATCTCACTGGACTACAAACTTCAACTTTAAGGGCAGACATAACCAGCACATTCTGTAGTCTACACTACACATTCTCAAAGTGATAAGTAAATTTTAGAAATTCTTGTACAAATAAAAAGTGTGAACAATTAGAGACATTTGATTGCTTACAATGCTGTCCATATTGCTACTTGTTTTGGCAATTCACTTGAGCTCCTATCAATTCTAAATTCATAATTGCACACACATGTAAGTAGTTTAGCAGAAAATGTAGCGCTACTCAAAATAGAGACTTCTAAAAATGTAAAGAAAATACTATGAGAACTATTTTAAATGTCTACATATGAAAGGGATGAAGTATGTCTTAAAAAAAGAAAAAGGAACATGAGAAACAATCTGAAGAAAACATTTCAATGAAAACATTTGGTAAAATAAAGGAAATAAATTTAACATGAATGAACTGACCATTTTTTTGGTAAAAATTTTCAGAAAACAAAAAAAAAATTGGTAATCAAACTTTAGAAAATAACAGATAGAAACCTGCTGTTAGATGTATAATGTGCAGATTTCTATAAGTCTTCACAGCCAGAGAAAAAAAACAACTTTCCTATATTTACATGGCATAATTTGTATGCCCAAACATACTTGCATATATACACTAGTCCAGCAAGCTGTGCTTACACCACAACAAGTCAATAGTGAAACCCAGAAGGAAACAGAAAACAATATCAACATTGAAAGTCAACTCTAAAGTAATCAGTAAAGTAGTCAGTAATCAAATCACACACATCATCAAGGGCATCAAATCAATTGAGGATGAAGTCCATAGATATTATTTAATGCAATACAATCTACAATTTAAACCAAAAAAAAAATAGTTATAAGAATTGTGTTCTACAATGTTGATAAAGAAATCAATTTCTTATGTTACTGACTTGATACATGCAACTAGTTTCAACAATATGTCTCCTTCAAGCAAGTCAACACAAATTAAAAAAAAATATTGAAGATTTTTAAACTATGAAAATACATAACCATTTTTGTACATATCACAGTTCACCAGTATGTAGTATGTATATATGTACTTAACAGTACACATCTTATGAAGTATGGAGTCTAATTAATTATATGGTTATTTCTATGAAGTCATACAATGCCACCCCAACCCCCCCCAACCCCCCTTTCCCAATTTAAGGAAACTTTCCAGACTCTGCCAAAATGCTAACTAGTTTGAAAGTTGACAGTAAACTGATTTAAACCCTAAAAGTAAGCAAGAAATGAAAGAAAACTATTTTTGGAACTATGGGCAAGGGTTAGACTTTAAATGTCCCATACTTTTATTGATGGTCTTGAATGATGACATTTTACATAGTAGTCAGCAGTGACAAGAAGATACACTTTTTGAAAACAATAAGTTTGTCATTACATAGCAAGATACTAGAAACAAGTGAATGATGGACAGACAAGTGAATGATGGACAGACAAGTGAATGATGGACAGAGAAGTGTTTCAAAAAAAAAGATGTTGAATGAGAAGAACAAACAATTGAAAAAAAAAAAGGAGGGAGGGGGATGGCCAGAACAAATAGATGTCTCTCTCTCTCTCTTTGAGTAAAACTCTGTTGGGTTTTGTGTGTAAGCAAAGATTCTAAACAATTGAAACCTTGTTATGTTTTTTTTACGTCTACATAATTATTGCCTGTCTTTATGTCAAAACAACAACTTTCTTCAATTACAACAGCAAATACAATCATATAAATAGATTGAGCAAGAGTTACAAATTCAAGTCATCATTAATATCTGTCAACAGCACACACACTCATATTTGTGAAAAGTGCATCACTGATCATGTCCACTGGTTCAAGCATCTACTTCACACATCTGTTCTTTAACACTAACGTAGCTAGGGTTCAAACACAAATTTTGAAAAGATATTCAAACACAATTTAACATTAAAACAAATGGATTTCACAATCATTGTTTGCACCTAAAACCTGTTGATTTTTAGTCTCACTCCATGACATTCATGAATACATACCATTATTAGAAATTGAGTGTCTATATTTGTATGTATACAACAGTTTCTAAGCATTAAAATAATATTACAAGAGTATATTTGACAATTCTCTAAGCTTTTGTTAAAACTAGAGGATTTGAATTACACCTATGTCAGATGAAGATTAAAACTTAATTTTCTTGACAACTTGTTCATTCTAATACTGCTTTGATATGAATGTACATGTCTACACAGAGAAACATTAATGCTGAACTAACAATGAAGAAAAGAAATCATTGAACATTTTTACCATCAGATACAACTATTGCTAAAATGATCAATGGAGTTGAATGTTATTTTATTCCTTAAAACTGTATATATTCATTAAAACCATAATTAAAGAAATGTAAACAATACCATTGTCAGATTATTAGTTTTGATATTCATATTAAGAGAACTCAAAATACTACCCATATGTCTGTCAAAATTTTGATATTCACTAAAACCACATAAGGAGAAATGAGAACATCATCATTCTGTCAAGTCATTATTTTGATATTTATTAAAACATACAAACAAAAAAAACAAAAAACTTCAAAATACATACATACATGTGATGACACCCTGTGAACCACGTAACTCTGAGACAGTCCTTCAGGATCTAACAGTGAACTACAGCTTGTAAACTATACACAGAAATCAGCAACTATTTACAATCAGCTCACCTCCAGAGCACTAAACAAAGCTCATGAAAATAATGCTAGGAACACCCTAGTTTACAAAGTCTGCCATTAAGAAAAACACAATATAAACCAATAAAAAAAAAAACACATTTATATATATCTAAAAATACTGGTTTCATCATGGACATCTCTACCCAATTAACACAATGTATTGCAGGAAAACTCACATTGTATTAGGCTACCAAAGGTAAACTTTATTTTCATGAGAACACCATTATATATATATTTATGTATCAATATATTTAGAATTATGGTGTCTGGATAGAATAAAAGATGCAAAAGTTGATCTACAACTTAAAAGCTAGTCTGCGATAAAAGCTGTTCCACCAAACATTGTCTTCTTTTCAAATATAAATTGTTCAACTAATTATTTTAAAGGAATCAATAAGTTAGTCACACAAATTCAGAGCTGACAGAAGTCATAATGTATATTTTATTTTTTGTTCCAATTTAATCATGCATTAAAAAAAGCACTTTATTTTGTTGAAAAACTGACTCCTCCAATGTTAGTCTTTTTAAATTTGTTTTCTATATCAATGTTTAAAACAAAAATCCACATAGGTTTTATATGTCAATATAGGGAAGCTGAAACTATTTTTCTTTAGCCAATAACTTGAAGTGATTAAATACCAACTAAGTACCTTTGGCAGCCAGGGGGAATAACTATGAGTGTAATGACAAAGAAATAAAGTCTATGAGTTACATTACAATACTATGTGTCAGTCTCACTGTGGTCACCCCGCTGTGCTCCTCCAGCTTTGGGACGACGTTTCATCTTTCTCACGATGTCATTGTAATAAAAGGGCTGTAGACAGAATGCCTTAAAAAAAAAAAAGACAAAAGTGACACCTTTTTTTTTTAAGATAACAATTCTTTGAAACAATACAAAGTGGAGTTTAATACTGTTACAAGCTTATTTTAATAGATTACGGGGATTAGAGTAAGTAGCCTATATTAATAAATACCAAATATTATACAAAAACAGTTGAAGTGTTTGACTTACAGTTTGTAGTCAAGAGATTGAATAGAGATGATGGCCACAATATTATATGGAAGTTAGTGAAGTACATAGAAATTAGGTTAGAAAATTGTACACAGAGTAACTTTGAAGACCTCATCTCAAATAAAAATCAAGTCAGTCATATTTTTAAATGGCATGGAAGCTTTCGCAGAAAAAAAAGTCAAAATGATTAAATGGTAACAAATATTTTTTTTATTTTAAGCTATTATTTAGAAATTCAACAATATCCACTAAATAAAAAACTTATTATTTATTAGTTACTAATTATGGCTCTTTTTTATTATTAAAATTAAACTAGAGAACTTCATTTAACTTCCATATTATTTCATGGTCCCTTTGGCCAAGGTAACAATGTTACCTCAAAAATATTTTAGAACCCAAAAGTGAACTAAAAAATAAATAAATTAGATCTTAGGTAAAAAAAAAAAAATTAAAACCAACAAAAAAAAAATGGTGTTCATTTTAAGATTAATACTAATAAATTGTTTACTACTGTATGCATACTGCTAGTTAGATTTTATCCCCCATTACTAAAAAAGAATGTTAACATTGAGGCAGACAACATTCAAAGAAATTTTCAAACACAAACACAGCACTATGACCAACTTGAGTTGACAGTGAAAGTTAGCTGTTGTTATAAGGACCAGTATAAAAGACATAGAAAAACATGTATTTCATATAGGACTGATGACAGTGGTAGACAAAACCAGAATGATTGACCTGAGGGTGACCTTCTAAAAGGTTTAATAAAGTATGCTGACGCCATCCAGCACAGTAAAGTCTAAACTAAGATCACAAAGGAAAAAGGAAATACTGCCGTGGTGTTCACATTATGATCTTTGTAGAGCTCACAATCTCAGCCACAACAATGCACCACATATATACAGGTGCACCACAAGTGTTCAACTTGCTATTCTTCAATTAGCCAGTTGTCATGTGCATCTAGTCTAGCCAAATACCATGTGTTTGTGTTTAGGGCAAATGCTTTTCTCAAAACTCAATGAGTCTTAGCACGTCTTATTTAGAATGATCATGTTTAAAAAATTTAAATAAAATATCAATTATAAGCTACTGATTTAAGTTCAATTGTGATTATAATCTGTCTTGATGGCTCTAATAATTTCTCTTGATAACTAATCCACATTTACATAGCCTATAGTCAATTAATAATGAATTCTTCTCCTTATGGAATGGATACTATATAGTAATATCTTTAAGGATCTGATTGTTAATTTCTTTTTTTTTTTATTTAACACATTTATTGCCATGTGACAACTGAACACACAGACAGACATAACAACATAATAAGCAGTTACATTGTGTGTAATCCTAACAACATTTTTTGTACAACTGCCTTCCAGCTACAATGTAGGCCTACACATAGACACAGTTCATTCTCTACATGACATGCATGATAAACAAGGTCTAGCTAGCTAGACTTTGTGTTTATTGTTCTGCAGTAAATTAGCTAAAGTGTCAACATTTAGTTGACAACTCTAAGGCTATGTTGAAAATAAACAGGAAACCTTTTACCTTGTTAACACAACAGACTATTGTAAGAAAGATTCATGATCATCTAAAATAATCTAATCTAAAAATATATATATAAAATTATGCTACATTATAAACCTGATGGGATTTTGGTTTTAAACAACTAAAAGAATCTCTAGTGACAAATACTACATTAATTAAAAAACATTCTCTATCTATAAACTAGAGGGAACAAAAGTTACATTTACATCCTAGAGATTCCTATGTATAAATAACTGCAGCCCAAACAACTTGTCAAACATTCTAAATATATTACAATATACTTAAAAAATATTTAGTCTCTAGTTAGCATATCACTTTAATATTTGCATTTTTCATTTCGAATAGAAAAAAAGTCAAAAGTTCTGTAACCAAATTAGCCTAATTTCAACTTGTCTAAAAAAAAAAAAAAGAGTGAATTATTGTGTTTAAAAGTATCCCCTGCATGCAAATAGAAACACAACAATGTATTTTTGAACTGACTGAACTAAACATGAACACAATAGCGTGAACTAAAAACACAAGTGAAACTGTTCTGCTGAGAACCCAACACAGCAGACAAGGAACATCCCAGCAAGTGGGGGGCACTCACTTCCAACCAACTCTTAGCACATCCAGATGAGTCTCCCCTGTGTGCAGCACCTAGAGATTTGTTATTGGTTTGTAGGTCAGGACATAGACCTGTAAGGGTCAGGGAACCAGTTTATTCAAACAATCAAGAGAACAGCATAGTTTCTTAAAACTATCTCAATGTTGAGATACAAATAAACTATTATCACACTAGCATTCTTGTGAGTGACTTTTCAATGACATCATGGTAGGTAATGGAACACACACATGGTCTAACATAGTCTTCCGATTCCTCACCACAAACATTAAATTAACAAACAATATCTTGTAGATCAAGCAGTCATATTTGCAACCTTTTGTCTGAATTTATATATCCTGCCAAGAGAATACTAAAATGTGTTCAAATATCACAGATGGTTGCAGTTTTTATATTTTTAAATGCTGACTATAAATGAGGGTGTGGGTCTTTGTTAAAAATCATCTAGTAAAGAGATTTCATTGACTAGCAAGGAATGCCAAGGAATTAATACATAATAAAAATTAATGTCTAAATTTGCTCTGAAGAGATCCTGAAAATAAGAACACCTTTGGTGATCACCTTTTGGTTATTTGCAACACATCATTAAATTGTTAACATATCTATTT